ACAATTTTAAAGTATCCAAGCAGTTGTCTTCTCTTTGTGAGGACGTAGAAGCTTTCAGCTCGTATAATTGGCCTGTGACAGTGTGTGGCTTTTTGATTTAGCAATTGAACCTATGTGCTATGAAACTTAGGATGGATCAGTCACTTGGATACATTACTGATTTTGTCTTCCTCTTAATGGTTTTTTCTCTGCACATTATTATTGAAATCTCTTTTCATAATTTTCGATTTTCATACCAATAATTTATTCGAACATGCTTCACACGACTCTGGTTTTATCAGCACACGTCCTTGGTCGTGCCAGCAGTTCCCGAGGCTAGACCCTGAAAGCTGAGGTGGCCAGTAAATGTAAGATGGAATGCTTTACAGATTCAACTAGCCGCTAGCCTTCAATATGCTCAGCCATGTAGAGGTGAATTAAATAATTTTCAATAGAAGTTGGTATTATGGTCATGTTATACATTGATTGTCTTTGATTGTCTGTAATTTTTTTTTCAGGTGTAGTAGGTGTATGATTTTTTTCTTGATGTAAAATAAAGTGAACATCACTTACTCGCCACTTCCTTTGAAGAGCCCTCCAGTCCTGCAAAGCTTCTCCCACAGCGGGAGACTCATTCCATACCACAGACACCCATGTTGGTTGAGGTATCTCTTATAGTACCTTATCATACTGATACTCAACCAATCGAACGTCATACATTTGAACAGATGAGTAAAATACTAGGGCAAACACTTGGATTTTAAGAGATTCATGATTTATTGAAAGACCAAAAAAAAAAATTATATTGGATTTTTAAGTATCCGTTGACAGTCGTTTGACACGGTTAGAGAATGTAGTTTTGGAATTTCAAGAATTTGTTGAAAGTCGATTGACAATGTTAGAGAATACGGTGACCAACTTAAAGTGTCATGTCGTGAAAGTAGAGAAAACAGTTAAACAAACAGATGGGAAATTGCCGAGAAGATGGGTGAAAGAGTCCTCACAAAGATGCTTGATCCAAAGGATTAAGGATAGAGTAAATAGAAGAAAGAAAACTCTCAGTTCCTCATATGCTGTTTTTGAAAGAAAGAGAAAAAAAGAACCAATAAAGGAACCGGTTGAAATCGTATAGGAAGAGGAAGCAGATGTAAACCAACAACCCAAATCTCCCCAAGAAGAGGTTGCATTTGTATATAAAGAGGAGGAGGAGCAATAACCAATCAGTCATTATGTTAGTGCATTTGTATCCAGACAAGGTATGGAATTTTTCCTTCAAGTATTTAAATATGAGCAATAAATATTCTGATTTACTTATCTTACAGGTCCAGCCAGTATCACAAGTGATAGACTTCCCCGCTAGATATGAAATTCCATATTATATGCGGGAAAAATCGATATATGTTGTAGAAAAGACACGGACATGTTAGTTCACCTAATTTTTGGCTGTTCTTCATTAATTTTGTAATTGTAAACTGAAGTAATTTTATATTTCAAATGCAGGTGTGACCTGTTAATAGATATAAGACATGTTTCAGTGCCACGATGTTATCTCGATGAATTCTTGGGAAACGGTTGGTTAGGCAATGAACATGTTGATTGTTTTGCCATGTTAATGGAGAATAAGCAATGTTACCTACCACATCTATATAGATTGTACTCATATATTTCTCCATGCCACTGGGTAAAATTTGAAAAATTAAAAGTTTTCTTGTTTGCATTTATACAAATCTAACATGACCATATTTTGAATGTTAGTTTGTTCTTCTTGATGTAGTAGTATAGACAAGGTAACGTTAAACCCTTTGTCACACATATTACAAAGGGCTAAGTAGAAATTATATATGATATTTGTAAATTTGCTTTGTTAAAATCACAGTAGATTTGAAAGGACAATATTTATTGCAACTTATACAAATTTTTTTTACTGAGATTTAAAAATTGGATTGAACACAATTGGTATGTGACCTTTATCTGTGCCTTTTTATGAGATTTATAAATATATCCTCTAGTTTCTAAAAATTTTTATCCATAAGTTTTTATCTAAAAAATTTTATGAGTTTGCTTATAATGTAATGTTGTTCATACCTTTCAACTTTGCAATTAAGTTTTTTGTTTAATTTATTGTCCTTTGTGCAACAGCTTGAAACTCAGAATTGATGATCCAAGAGTATTGGAGCTGGTTTCTTAAACCTGAATGTCAGAACTGATGACAGTTTGCTGGAAAACTTCAGAGAGGGTGAAAGAGTTGGTGTGTGGGGGGTTGTATCTGATTGTGGATAATGTTTTGATTGTATATGCATTTTGTTTCTTACTTCAGTTGATTGTATATGCATTTTGGAGCTCGGGTTGTACATGAAAGCAGATTTTCTGATGTTGTTTTTAAAAATTTGTTAAGCATATCAATTAATACAAAGAGAAATGATTTTAGAAATTTTCTAATGTGTGATCTTGCTATGAGATAATTGCAGAAAATTTGCTGTGCAGAAATTCTGGAGCCCTTTAACTTAATACTTATTGCAGAAATTCTGGAGCTCTTTAAATAAAGCATTTACTAAATCATATAACTTTAAGACTTGTGGCTCGAATTCTGCTTAGGATGTACTGCCTTGGCTACAGATTTTCTAATGCATTGTGACAAAACCAACTCCATTCTGCTATTACTAAAGCATTAAGTTAAAGCATTGAGACAGAACCATGACATTCCCTCTATGGTCACAGATTTGTTATAAATTTGCTACATTCCATATGATTTACAGCGGACAAATGAGTTGGCTACAGATTTGCTCTATGAAGTTGCAGAATTTGTAAAATCTAATTTCCTATTTGAAGTTGCAGAATTTCAGAAAAACTTATTCCCTGCATGAACTTGTTTGAACTAACAGTTAAAGGAAGTAAGCTTAACACTGATTTATTGAACAAATTTTCTTTTTAAGCTGTAAATTTCTGGAGCCCTGTAACTTATTCAGCCGCAACTTATTCCTTGTAACTTATTCCCTGTAAAATCTTATTACATGTAACTTATTCAGCCCTGTACAATCTTATTCCCTGTAACTCATAAATACAAATGCCACAATACATAAACAAAGCAAAAATACAAATGTGAAGCAGAATTACAAATGCCTCAATACTATTGCCATAAATACAATTACCTTACACACATCCTGATTACAGATTACTGTTTACAAATGCCTCGATACATTCTCATAAAAATTACATAAAAAAAATAATGACTCAATGCAATTCGTCCTCCATGCATCAACTGTGTATCAAATTATTGCCGGACAACCACTTCTTGTATCCGCTCTTTTGTATTTAACAATTTGTGTGACCTTCAACTCTTTCTTAAAACCTGATTTTCCACAGACAAAATCTTTCATCTTAAGATTCTTGAAGTTAAGCCAGAAAGTATCGTGCTCTTTACGGACACTAAATCCGATATGATGAGCGTAAGCATAATATACTTCGTAAGCTTCTTTCTCATTGTGGATCACCGTTTCAAGTAAAATATTTGTACTTTGCTTTGTACATTAAGGTTCACTCTCATCAAACTGCAAAAAAAAATAAGACTATTTCAAACTCAATAATAGGTGCACAAACAAACAACCCTACAAATAAGAACCACACCCAACAAATAAGAACACTATAATAAACCCTAATAAGCACAACACAACAAACAAAATAAAAATCATACAACTTTACAAACATTCACCTCCATAATATTCTTAAAAATCATACAACAAATAAGAACACCCTAAAAACAAACAACATTTTAATAAAAACTAAGAAATGTCTCCGAGTTATACCTCAAAACACACCAAGGAAATCACCAAGAAACACAACAACAAACACACCAATGAAAACACCAAAGAAACATATTTAAACACACCAAGAAACAAAGATATACCGGCGGAAAAAAACAAAGAACTTTGTCTAAAAAAAAAAAAAAACATAACTACAAACAAACAACTAATACAAAAAGACACCTCCACTTCAACATCGACTTCTTCTCTGTTGGCCGGGAATGTATCTTCTCCTTCTCCGTCAGACACGAAATGCCAGTTTGTGTAGTTCTTCTTCAACATCAAAATTCAATAAAACAGTAAACCCTAGCCGCTTAAAGTTGCTTAAATAGTAACCTTCTCATGCTCGGATTTTTGAAGGAAGGTTATCACGCGGTTACATTG